ATGCTATATAAATCCTGAATAATAATAATATGTAATAATCCTCTGAATATACCTGTCTGTGGTGACAGTGTGTATTGCAGATGCTTATGCTAAAATCATAGTGTTATTGCTAGGATTTGTGAGTTTCCTCCTTTTCTGTAAAAAGGCGGTGGTGGCAGTTTTAAGGGTTAATTACGCAATTAACCTAACCCAGTAACAATTGCTCTCAGGCTGCTGGCACATAGATTGTAGTCCCACGAGCTGGGAAATCTTTGTGCAGGGTGCAGCTGAGAGTAGCATTGTTATGCAAGTGACAGCGCGGTGTGAGATTGGCTGGTCCTTTGTCATGAGTTGGTGAGAAGGGCTGGGGTGGGGCACCACGTTCCGTCACACCTTTCTTTTAGGAAACTTTCCACCACTGACAAACTGGACATTTGGGGGATGCTTCTATATAATGCATCAATGTCTATGGCTACCAAAATGGTTCCTGGGGGTACATGTAGCCCCTCAAGTCTCAGTAACAAATCTCTGGAGTATCCTGTATATATGAGGGCAATGATATTACGTGTGGGCGTAAATAATTGTCCACTAGGCGGCTAGTTAGCTCTGTCTGGGGCCCAATCCCTGATACAATAGGTCTCCCTGGTGGTTGTTTCAAATCTTTATGCATTTTGGGCAACGCATAGAATGTCGGCATTCTAAGATGTTTAACCAATATCGCCTCATATGTATCCTTATCCAAAATACCCTGTTGTAAGGCTTCCAACAAGAATGTTTGAAACTCCTTATGAAATCTATCCACTCGTCTGTACCAGGCTTCATTTTCCAGGATCTTACAACACATCTCAGTATATTGGGATACATCCATCAGAACAATATTTTCCCCCTTATCAGAGGGTTTAATAATAATCCCTTTGTCTGTACATAGATCCTTAAGAGACTGAGCTTGTGGCACAGAGAGGTTGCTTGCATTGAAATTTTGTACTTGTAGATTTTCAATCTTTACAACTTGTGTTATGAAAGTCTGGATATTTAGATTTGCTTGTATGAAAGAAAATGTATCTTATTTTTTCCTCATGGGCCAGGGGGGTCCAAAACTATCCAGACTAAATGGGTTAGAGACAACAGGTGCTCTTTCCTGTCTATCACCCCCTTTGGAAGCAGATTTCTCATTTTCATCTAAAAGTTCCCTCAAATCTCTTAGTGCTTGAAAATCCTTAATGGAAAAACTTTTCCATTGATCCATTAATGTCTTTTTTCTTCAGGAACTTTTAGTCTCAAAGTAGTGAAAGAGATATAAGTATCAAGTTAGTAAATAAATATATAAAAATAATATAAAATATTCATATACTTCCTGTTTTTGTTAAAAGACAAATATGGGCTACATAAAAAACAAACACATTATACTCACCTGCAGTGGTGAAGCTAGACATTTTTTCACCTTTTTCATTTTTTTGGCTTCGACCACCCCCGAGAGAAAGGTGTCAGTAGGGCAGAGGCTGGTGTCAGTAGAGTAGTGGATGTTGTCAGTAGTTTTTTTATTTATTTATTTTTTTAAATTATTATTTACAGTTTTTTTTTCTAAACAGACCCCTGATGTCTAATTTTTGAGACAGAGAAAGGGACTGAGCCTCAGCTGCATTGGACAGTGAATGAATGGGAAGTGCTTTGTGCAGAGCAGCTTCATCTTCATTCATAAACTGAAGCATAGTAAATAGTGTTTTCTATGCTTCAGTTGTGAATGCACACAGCGAGTAACTGGTACTGAGGGCAGGCACTGGTGCTCAATGGGGTGAGATGGGGGCTCTGATGGTCAGTGGGGGTCAAGGAAAACATTGGTGCTTAGTGGAGGAAAAAGGAGGGGCACTGGTGCTCAGTGGGAAGAGAGGGGGCACTGTGCTCAGTAGGGGGACAAGGGGGGCACCAGTGCTCAGTGGGGGGAAAGGGGGCACTGTGCTAAGTGGGGTGACAAAGAGAGTACTGGTTCTCAGTGGGGGGACAAAGAGAGTAATGGTGCTGAGTGGTGGAAAAATGGGGAAACTGGGGTGGCAAGGAGGGAACTGGTACTCGGTGGGGAGAGATGGGGGGTAGTGGTGCTCAGTGGGGAGACAAGGAGAGGGCACTGGTGCTCAGTGGGAGAAGATGGGGGGTACTTCTGCTTAGTGGGGGGACAAAAGGAGGCACTGGTGCTTAGTGGGGGGAGATGGGGGGTTGCTCAGTAGGGGGACATGGGGTCCCGATGCTTAGGGGCAGATAGGGGATCCTGGTGCTTAGTGGGGGGAGATGGGGGGTCCTAGTGTTTGGTGGGGCAAGATTGGGGTCACTGGTGCTCAGTGGGGGAGGGAGGAACTGGCCCTCAGTGGGGAAGATGGGAGGTCTTGGTACTTAGTGAGGGCAGATTGGGGGCACTGCCATTCAGTGTGGTAAGGGGACACTGGTGCTCAATAGAGGAATAATGGGGGCACTGCTGCTCAGTTGGGGGAGATGTGGGACACTGGTGTTCAGTGCGGGGGTATGGGGGGTACTGATGCTCAGTGGGGGGGACAAAAGGGGGACTGGTGCTCAGTGGAGGAAGATCGGGCTGTCCTGGTGATTAGTGGGGGGCATGGGGGCACTGGTGCTCAGTTGGGGCAGATTGGGGGTCCTGGTGCTTAGAAGAGGCCATGGGGGGTCATAGTGCTCAATAGGGGGGGATGGGGGGTCCTGGTGCTTAGTTGGGAGAGGTGGGGGTCCTGGTGCTCAGTAGGGAGAGATGGGGGGCACTGGTGCTCAGTGGGAGACAAGGGGGCACTGGTGCTCAGTGATGGAACAAGGGGGCAGTGGTGCTCAGTGGAGGGAGATGGGGGTCCTGGTGCTCAGTGGGGGGGGGGGCAAGGGGGCACTGGTGCTCAGTTGGGGGAGACGGCGGGGTCCTGGTGCAGTAGTGGCTTGCACAGGCTCTCAGCTTTAGCCTTCTGTCAGCTGAAAACAGTTCACAGGAGTGCAGAACGAACTGTACTCCTTTGATCCATAGGAGAAGTGCAGCCAAAAAAGCTTTGGCCCTACTTTTCCTTTAAAGCTGAAATTTAGGTATGGTAGTTTTTATATAGTTACATTTGGACCAATGTAAGTACCGTATGTCCCAGGGCAGGGACAAGGTGGGGGCAGAAGGGGTATGTGGCTTGGTGCATGTTGCTATGTGGAGGGGGGGCACCATAGGAGCTTAATCTACTCCATTCTTCTGTGTCACTTTTGTCAAAAAGGCTTTTTTTCAGCTGGAGGGCATTTGCCCTGTACTCATTGCTGTTACTTGTTGTAAACACAGAAGCCGGCAGAGGAAGATTTCTGCACCATTCACAACAAGTGACAGCATGCCTCTTGGGCTCACACAGAGTGCTCCCTGCCCTGCACCATGACAGCAGAGCCCAGCCTGGGTTAATGGCTGCTAGCTACTCTTCCACAGCAGCAACTCTCCATGCCACTTTATATTGGGAAGAGGGAGGATGATAAGGGGAAAGCCCTGTATGGGAAGGTGGGTTGAAGAGCTCTGTTTTGGGGAAAGCTCTGTACTGTATTGGGGGGGTGGAGAGCTGTGTACTTGGGGGGAGAGCTGTGTACTGGGGGGGGGGTTGAGGGGAGATCTCTGTACTGAGAGGTTGCAGGCAAAGCATTGTACTGAGAGGGGAACTTGAAGGGAATGTGTGCTGTGCAATAGCCACTCAAGAAACCTGTGCCTTTTGCGATACCCATCCCTGCACCTTGCAAAATACACACTCCTGAACCCTGCACAATATGTGCTCCTGAACCATGCACGATACATACTCAGAAGCAAACAGAAAAACAAAAAAGAAGGCGCATCGACCTAGTGCATTATCGTTTAAAATATTTATTGAGAGAACAAAGTAAGTATCATACTCACAATGGACATAAAAACACAGGCATATCACACCGAACAGTATGGTAAATGTGATTGTGGAATGCCAGACAAATGACATCCAGTCTCACTTATGTGGAAAGCAGTAAATGATTCAAAGGGAGGTCTTCCTAATAAATCTTAAATATACACTTAGCATGTTTTAGAAAGTAATTGCTATTGACTGCATATTTCCAGGCATTATCCAATGTTTTTTAACCTATAAGCAGTGGTGTATTCATTACTTGCGCTGCTCTAGGCAATACAAGAATGATGTGTAGGTGGGGAGGTGTACTGTAGATTGGTAGGTTGGGGGGTATTGTAGATCGGGAGGTGGGGTGTAATGTAGGTATACTGCCCGGTACTGGGTGATATAGGGGAGGTATACTGTACGTAGGTACTGGGGGAGGTGTATTGTAGATCGAGATGGGAGAAGTACAATATAGATCTGTATGTAGTTTTGGGGAGGTATATTGTAGGTCAGGGGTTAGGACTTAACCCCTGACCTACAATATACCTCCTCCAACTACATACAGATCTATAATACATCTCCACTACTTAACCGTTAAATAGTAGTGGAGGTGTATTATAGATACATAGACATACTACAGCAGATGACCAGAGACTGAGGACATACTACAGGAGATGACCAGAGAATGCGAACATAGTACAGGAGATGACCAGAGACTGCAGACTTACTACAGGAGATGACCAGAGACTGTAGACATGTTACAGGAGATGACCAGAGACTGCAGACATAGTACAGGAGATGATCAGAGACTGCAGACATAGTACAGGAGATGACCAGAGACTGCAGATATAGTACAGGAAATGACAAGAGACTGCGGATGTACTACAGGAGATGACCAGAGACTGTGGATGTACTACAGGAGATGACCAGAGACTGTGGACATACTACAGCAGAAGACCAGAGACTGCAGGCATAGTACAGCAGATGAACAGAGACTGCAGACATACTACAGGAGATGACCAGAGACTGCATAGTACAGGAAATGACCAGAGACTGCAGACATAGTACAGGAGATGATCAGAGACTGCGGACACAGTACAGGAGATGACCAGAGACTGCGGACATAGTACAGGGAATGACCAGAGTCTGCAGACATAGTACAGAAAATGACCAGAGACTGTGGATGTACTATAGGAGATGACTAGAGACTACAGACATAGTACAGGAAATGACCAGAGACTGCGGGTCTACTACAGGAGATTACCAGAGACTGCGGATGTACTACAGGAGATGACCAGAGACTGCAGACATACTACAGGAGATGACCAGAGACTGCGGACACAGTACAGGAGATGACCAGAGACTGCAGACATAGTACAGGAGATGACCAGAGACTGCAGACATAGTACAGGAGATGACCAGAGACTGCGGACATAGTACAGGAGATGACCAGAAACTGCAGACTTACTACAGGAGATGACCAGAGACTGTAGACATGTTACAGGAGAGATGACCAGAGACTGCAGACATAGTACAGGAGATGATCAGAGACTGCAGACATAGTACAGGAGATGACCAGAGACTGCAGACATAGTACAGGATATGACCAGAGACTGCGGACATAGTACAGGAAATGACCAGAGACTGTGGATGTACTACAGGAGATGACCAGAGACTGTGGACATACTACAGCAGAAGACCAGAGACTGCAGGCATAGTACAGCAGATGAACAGAGACTGCAGACATACTACAGGAGATGACCAGAGACTGCAAAATACAGGAAATGACCAGAGACTGCAGACATAGTACAGGAGATGATCAGAGACTGCGGACACAGTACAGGAGATGACCAGAGACTGCGGACATAGTACAGGGAATGACCAGAGACTGCAGACATAGTACAGAAAATGACCAGAGACTATGGATGTACTATAGGAGATGACTAGAGACTACAGACATAGTACAGAAAATGACCAGAGACTGCGGGTCTACTACAGGAGATTACCAGAGACTGCGGATGTACTACAGGAGATGACCAGAGACTGCAGACATACTACAGGAGATGACCAGAGACTGCGGACACAGTACAGGAGATGACCAGAGACTGCAGACATAGTACAGGAGATGACCAGAGACTGCAGACATAGTACAGGAGATGACCAGAGACTGCGGACATAGTACAGGAGATGACCAGAAACTGCAGACTTACTACAGGAGATGACCAGAGACTGTAGACATGTTACAGGAGATGACCAGAGACTGCAGACATAGTACAGGAGATGATCAGAGACTGCAGACATAGTACAGGAGATGACCAGAGACTGCAGACATAGTACAGGATATGACCAGAGACTGCGGACATAGTACAGGGAATGACCAGAGACTGCAGACATAGTACAGAAAATGACCAGAGACTGTGGATGTACTATAGGAGATGACTAGAGACTACAGACATAGTACAGGAGATGACCAGAGACTGCGGACACAGTACAGGAGATGACCAGAGACTGCGGGTGTACTACAGGAGATTACCAGAGAATGCGGATGTACTACAGGAGATGACCAGAGACTGCAGACATACTACAGGAGATGACCAGAGACTGCGGACATAGTACAGGAGATGACCAGAGACTGCGGATGTACTACAGGAGATGACCAGAGACTGCAGACATAGTACAGGAGATGACCAGAGACTGCGGACACAGTACAGGAGATGACCAGAGACTGCAGACATAGTACAGGAGATGACCAGAGACTGCAGACATAGTACAGGAGATGACCAGAAACTGCGGACATAGTACAGGGGATGACCAGAGACTGCGGACATAGTACAGGAGATGACCAGAGACTGCGGATGTACTACAGGAGATGACCAGAGACTGCAGACATAGTACAGGAGATGACCAGAGACTGCGGACATAGTACAGGAGATGACCAGAGACTGCGGACATAGTACAGGAGGTGACCAGAGACTGCGGACATAGTACAGGAGATGACCAGAGACTGCAGACATAGTACAGGAGATGACCAGAGACTGCAGACATAGTACAGGAGATGACCAGAGACTGCGGACATAGTACAGGGGATGACCAGAGACTGCGGACATAGTACAGGAGATGACCAGAAACTGCAGACATAGTACAGGAAATGACCAGAGACTGCAGATATAGACTGCGGACACAGTACAGGAGATGAACAGAGACTGCGGACATAGTACAGGAGATGACCAGAGACTGCGGACATAGTACAGGAGATGACCAGAGAATGCGGATGTACTACAGGAGATGACCAGAGACTGCAGACATACTACAGGAGATGACCAGAGACTGCGGACATAGTACAGGAGATGACCAGAGACTGCGGATGTACTACAGGAGATGACCAGAGACTGCAGACATAGTACAGGAGATGACCAGAGACTGCGGACACAGTACAGGAGATGACCAGAGACTGCAGACATAGTACAGGAGATGACCAGAGACTGCAGACATAGTACAGGAGATGACCAGAAACTGCGGACATAGTACAGGGGATGACCAGAGACTGCGGACATAGTACAGGAGATGACCAGAGACTGCGGATGTACTACAGGAGATGACCAGAGACTGCAGACATAGTACAGGAGATGACCAGAGACTGCGGACATAGTACAGGAGGTGACCAGAGACTGCGGACATAGTACAGGAGGTGACCAGAGACTGCGGACATAGTACAGGAGATGACCAGAGACTGCAGACATAGTACAGGAGATGACCAGAGACTGCAGACATAGTACAGGAGATGACCAGAGACTGCGGACATAGTACAGGGGATGACCAGAGACTGCGGACATAGTACAGGAGATGACCAGAAACTGCAGACATAGTACAGGAAATGACCAGAGACTGCAGATATAGTACAGGAGATGACCAGAGACTGCGGATGTACTACAGGAGATGACCAGAGACTGCGGACATAGTACAGGAGATGACCAGAGACTGCGGAAATAGTACAGGAGATGACCAGAGACTGCGGACACAGTACAGGAGATGAACAGAGACTGCGGACATAGTACAGGAGATGACCAGAGACTGCGGACATAGTACAGGAGATGACCAGAGACTGCGGATGTACTACAGGAGATGACCAGAGACTGCGGACATGGTACAGGAGATGACCAGAGACTGCGGACATAGGACAGGAGATGACCAGAGACTGCAGATGTACTACAGGAGATGACCAGAGACTGCAGACATAGTACAGGGGATGAACAGAGACCTTTCAGCAATGCACATATACTGTATACAGTTTGGTATAGAAGTCCACAGGCATGGGGGGGAGGGCATACCTGGCCAGGCGGGCTCAGCATCCTCTCTGAGGGCGGGGCTCACAACGATGTCTTCAGTGTACCCTGTCGGCTCTGAAGTGAAGTGATCGGGGCCCCAATCTAAGAGTGGCACGGGCTTAAAGCGGAGTTCCACCCAAAAGGGGAAGTTTTGCACCCGGCCATGACAGCTTGCGCAGAAGCCGCAAGCTGTCACAGCCGGTGCCCACACTAAAGATGCCGGCGCAAGGGAGAGAAGACGGCCGGTGAAACCAGCGGTGGTGAGGACACCGCTGGCCCGAGGAATAGGTAAGTGTCTGTATTTTAAAAGTCAGCAGCTACAGTTTTTGTAGCTGCTGACTTTTTTTTGTTTTTTCAGCTAGAACTCCGCTTTAAGGGGCAGCTGCTTTAGGCCCTGCCTGGCGCTGCTGCACTGCTGACTTGGACTCCTCCTCTCTTCTGCCACAGAAGAGCCAAGCAGCCGGCCCAATATTTTAACACGGCGGCGATGGGGGGAGCCTGGTCAATATTCGCTCCATAAGACGCAGAGACATTTCCCCCCATTTTTTTGGGGGAAGAAAGCGCGTCTTATGGAGCAAAAAAATACAGTAATAAGATCAACTTTATTAAACACCTTAACTTTATTAAATGAAATACATTATATTAACCCCTTCATGCCAAAGGGTAAAGCAAATCTTAAAGCCTAAGCAAAATTTTACAACTTTGACATGTGTTAGTAAAACCGTACGTATCCTCACAACTACTTTGTACATCCAGGTGAATTATACCTTGTTTTTTTTCAGGACAAATGGGGCATTCATTTGGGAGGGAAGCTCCATGCCATGGTTGCTCTCTGGTGACTAGAAAAAATCCTATGTGGCAGCCTCCTTTTATAGGGACCCTTTGGGCTTCTAGAAAATTCTGGGGGGTCAGATGAACTTAATTGGCCTAACCCTAATGACCCAGCAGAATTTGCAGAAACGTCCACACCATGTGACCCTAATTGATCTATCAAATTAACTCCCATTAAAATAATTGACCTAGGGGTTAAAATGCAGCCGCCATGGCAGTGTATATATATATATATATATATATATATATATATATACTGGCTAGCTTAGATAGGGTGAACATGTTGCAGAGTGCAGACATGAAGAGATAATTGAAGTTATTTATTTTTACATGCAACCCATTGAGGCTTATATTTTGCTTAGCACCTATATCGGACCTCTTATTACAGGTTGTAATCTGGTGTCCAATTTTTCACAATGAGGTACCACTGGCTAGGATCAATTCAGAGCAAAACCACAGATTTATATTAAAACCAGCTACCATAGCACGTATATTTACCTTCCTTTCTTTTCTCTACAGTTCCATTCATTGCAAAGAGAAGAAACCCTGAGCAAGCTCCAAGCCAACCCTAGCTGGAGCTTACACAGCCCTTAGGATATTTTCTCCAACCGCATGTGATGACGCTATGTGCCGGAGCAGCCAGTCACTGAGCACTAGCATTTTCATGTGGAAGGAAAGAAAAAGGAGTCACAAGCTTCCCTATTCCCAGAAGTGCTTGGTATTTCTTTTTATACCTGGCAAAGAATGGGGTAGCAGGAGAATGGAAGAAAGGGAGTATGTATGCTTAGGAGAACAACAGTTATAAGAACTCGATGCTTTACTTTGCATGTGCAAAGAGTTATTTTAAAGGCTACCCACATGGAAGAAAAATATATTTGAAATATATTTTAAAAATATTCTTCCCAAATATATTGACATATATTTTAAATGCTACAATTTTGGCCATATTCAATATATTTCAATAACGATCGATATATATATATATATATATATATATATATATATATATATATATATACTGCATGTTGAAATGCATTTTTATATATTACAAAATACATGAAAAATATTTTTAGAAATATATTTTTTTAAATTATATTCTTCAGATGTTTTTGAAACATAGAAAAAAGTAATTTTAACATATATGATTACATATATTTGTAAATGCATTCCAAAAATGTAGATTTGTATTTTAAAGACATACAATATATTTGAAATGTATTTTTTAAAATATTTTTCATATATTTTGTAATAAAAATGCATTTCAACATGCAGTGTATATATATATATATACTGTATATATATATATATATATGTGTGTGTGTGTATATGTACAGTGGGGCAAAAAAGTATTTAGTCAGCCACCAATTGTGCAAGTTCTCCCACTTAAAAAGATGAGAGAGGCCTGTAATTGGCATCATAGGTAGACCTCAACTATGAGAGACAAAATGAGAAAAAAAATCCAGACAATCATAATGGCTGATTTGGAAAGAATTTATTTGCAAATTATGGTGGTATTTTTTTTCAATATCAAAAGTTCATCTCAATACTTTGTTTATATATCCTTTGTTGGCAATGACAGAGGTCAAACATTTCCTGTAAGTCTTCACAAGGTTGGCACACACTGTTGCTGGTATGTTGGCCCATTCCTCCATGCAGATCTCCTCTAGAGCAGTGATGATTTTTGGGCCTGTCGCTGGGCAACACAGACTTTCAACTCCCTCTAAAGGTTTTCTATGGGGTTGAGATCTGGAGACTGGCTAGGCCACTCCAGGACCTTGAAATGCTTCTTACGAAGCCACTTCTTTGTTGCCCGGGCGGTATGTTCGGGATCATTGTCATGTTGGAAGACCCAGCCACGTTTTATCTTCAATGCCCTTGCTGATGGAAGGAGGTTTGCACTCAAAATCTTACGACACATGGCCCCATTCATTCTGTCCTGTACATGGATCAGTCGTCCTGGTCCCTTTGCGGAGAAACAGCCCCAAAGCATGATGTTGCCACCCCAATGCTTCACAGTAGGTATGGTGTTCTTTGGATGCAACTCAGCATTCTTTCTCTTCCAAACTCGATGAGTTGTTTTTCTACCAAACAGTTCTATTTTGGTTTCATCTGACCATATGACATTCTCCCAATCCTCTTCTGGATCATCCAAATGCTCTCTAGGAAACTTCAGACGGGCCCGGACATGTACTGGCTTAAGCAGGGGGACACGTCTGGCACTGCAGGATCTGAGTCCCTGGCAGCGTAGTGTGTTACTGATGGTAGCCTTTGTTACATTGGTCCCAGCTCTCTGCAGGTCATTCACTAGGTCCCCCGTGTGGTCCTGGGAGTTTTGCTCACCGTTCTTATGATCATTTTGACCCTACGGGGTGAGATCTTGTGTGGAGCCCCAGATGGAGGGAGATTATCAGTGGTCTTGTATGTCTTCCATTTTCTAATTATTGCTCCCACAGTTGATTTGTTCACACCAAGCTGCTTGCCTATTGCAGATTCAGTCTTCCCAGCCTGGTGCAGGTCTACAATTTTGTTTTTGGTGTCCTTCGACAGCTCTTTAGGTCTTCACCATAGTGGAGTTTGGAGTGTGACTGTTTGAGGTTGTGGACAGGTGTCTTTTATACTGATAACAAGTTCAAACAGGTGCCATTGATACAGGTAATGAGTGCAGGACAGAGGAGCCTCTTAAAGAAGAAGGTACAAGTCTGTGAGAGCCAGAAATCTTGCTTGTTTGTAGGTGACCAAATACTTATTTTCCACCATAATTTGCAAATACATTCTTTCCAAATCAGCCAATGTGATTGTCTGGATTTTTTTTCTCATTTTGTCTCTCATAGTTGAGGTCTACCTATGATGCCAATTACAGGCCTCTCTCATCTTTTTAAGTGGGAGAACTTGCACAATTGGTGGCTGACTAAATACTTTTTTGCCCCACTGTGTATATATATATATATATATATATATATATATATATATATACATATACATACATACATGTGTGTATATATATATATATATATATATTGAAATATATTTTGAAATATATTGAATATGGCCAATATTGTAGCATTTCAAATATATGTCAATATATTTGAGGAAGAATATTTTTTAAATATATATCAAATATATTTTTCTCCCATATGGGCAGCTCTGGGCCTGCACTCCTGTTGTATCTTCCTTATGCTACAAACACCAATGGACAGAAGTTGGACTGAATCTTTAAAGGCTTGAGAAGTGCCGAATCTTCTATTGACATGATTCAGTGTGCCCTGACCATTTGATGAACAATCAAGAATGCTATCTGGATGGTCACAGAAAAATGCAGCAGGTTTTGGTTTGCAGTGTTCTGCTCTTGAACGAAAGTGCACCTAATTGTACATCTATATGTACATAGAGCATAGTACATTGGATGGGCCATTGCTAATGCATAACTTCAGTTATACTTCTCTTGCTAAAAGTATAAAATTGTCTCACTGCAATATATTTTTAAAAAGTACGATTTTCATCGCCAGCTTTAAATTCATAAGGTCTTTAAATTAAAACGTTGAATTGCTTTAAACATCAAACAAAATTTACTGTGTGACTCCCAATTGTCTCGTAGTACTACATTTCGACCTCTGAGTACATTCCTGATATTGTCACTTTCAGAGGATACTTCCACCTTTCTTCTTTCACAGTCTCAGACTTGTAAAAAGTTAATGGCATATCATAATGTGGATGTATGTTTAATGATTGTTCATCAAATGCTCGTTTATGAAATAAAAAAGAGAATTCTCCTTCAATAAATCTGCCACCTACACTCTGCCCTTGAAATTAATGTGCAATCACTGTAGTAAAAGCTGTCCGTCATTGGCCTCCTGCCTGGTTCAACATCACTGTTCTAAGTAATTCTGTTAGTCTAGGCAGCTTCTGTAATATGTACCTAAGAACTTGCAATCTAATCTACTTTCTTTTTCTCTTAAAAAAAAAAAAATGTACCTAAACCAAACCATCTATTTTTGAAAGCAGAACTCTTTTTACATGTTTTAAGCAACTTAAATAAATTTAGTATATTACTTTTAAAAGCATATTTGGAGATTTTTAAGGTGCCAGACAATACACTTAACACAAAAATAATTTTTTTTCCTAGTTTATTTATTAATGCATGCTTTACAAGAATACAAAAAGTTAAATTTGCATAAATATCTTTACTGCATATAGAAGGATGTGTTTATTACAGTATATATATATAATTTCTTGA